CTTAGGACGGCCCAGTACCACGTCTCCAGTCAACGCTGTTAGTTTCCTGGTACAAACGCACTATTCGGATAACTGAAACGCGGGGAATCCCTAGTCTATCCGCGATTTGAAGATTAGGCAGGCCCTCATCATGCAAAGCAACTATTCTTGCTCTATTGAACACTGAAATTCTATTGCCAGGCATAATTGCAAAGAAAAACTCAACAATCCATTAAACAAGCTAAAACGATATGAACCACTTTTTTAACATTGATATCTTAAATTGTGGGAAATTGTGGGAAATTGTTTTTATAAAAATATTTCAAAATATTTATGATGCGTAGCAACGATGAAATAAATAAAGATTAAATGTACAAAAAAGCAGCCGTGATAAATATTTCATTTTAACATTTACGAGGTGGGTCCAAGAATTTTGGCGATGTGTGTATCTTTAGTCAGCACACGTGATTAATTTACTGTTAGTAACGACTCTAGACAGACCCTAAAAACCCAAACAGGAAATACACTACAACTGGATTGGAAACGCTGGAATTACTTCTTATCTCATTTACCTGATTAGACAACAAAGAGTCTCCGCTCAAGTGTGGAAAATGGATAGTCACAAGTCACAATAGAAAATGTACAATGAGCAATACATACCTAGCTTCAACACATACAATTCATTTGTACCAGATGTGATATTGCCTATGCTTCTGCAACAGGCTATAGAAACACTGGCACATTTACAGGCTCTACATGGCAAGTTTGACTCATAAACATGTACCTCTAATCACAGAAGGATGGTTTTTATATCTAATCCGTCAAATAAATGCCCTGACGAAGACACAGTCCAATAACTCTGACGTTATTCCTATTGAGGGAATTGATTAGCATGTCTAGTAAATTACTTTAATAATCTCCAATGCTGTGGTCAGTTCTTGTGGACGACTTACTCAAAACATTGTCCAAAGAAGGCTACCAGTGCATAGGATACGTAGACGACTTAGCAATTATCGTCGGGGGCGCGATTTGCAGGCACAGTCTCGGAGCCATCTCAAACAGCTCTAAACATAGTGAACAACTGGTACAAAAAGAAACAATTGTCCATTAACGCACAAAAAACAACAGTTGTACCATTCACAAAAAAACGGATACTTACATAACTAAACAACACAGTTATCCCATTCGTCACAGAAGCCAAATACCTCTGAGTCATATTTGACCAAAGGCTGACGTGGAATCAACATCTCAAAAAACTCACACACAAAGCTACAATAGCTCACGTATGCTGTAGAAGAATATTTGTGAAAAACATATAGTTATACACAAGAGTGATATGACCCATGATAACTATTGGGCAGTGGCGTGGGTAACCAAAACTGCGCAGGCAAGTGCAATAGGCAAACTCACTGGCATTCAGCGGCTCGCCTGTCTAAGTGCTACTGGGGACATGCGCACTACGCCAACTGCAGCAATGGAGGTATTATTAAATATCAAACCACTGCACATCTTCATACAATGAAAAACCAGGTCAGCTATTCACAGGCTAATGCAGGGACAAAACCGAATAAGCCAACTACATAACGCTGACCACACAAGGCTATATCAGCAAGTAAAAAGGGATAATATTCTAGCTATGCCTACTGATAGAGCCATAACCACATACATACAAATACCAGCCCGAGAATCCTGGAAACGGACCTCCCGTACAGGCTGAACTCGTCTGGTACACAGATGGTTCAAAAACCTTGGAAGGAGCCGATGCTGGAATCTATGGACCCAAGTCGAAAACAACGATTTCGCTGAGTTTAGGAAAATATGCAACAGTGTTCCAGGCTGAACTAATAACCATACAACACTGTGCAAGAGAAATACTAAATCAGCAAGTATAAGGCAAAACTATTGCCATATACTTTGATAGCCAAGCAGCTCTAAAGGCAATTCTCTCACCAGTAATCAAATGGCGACTGGTTAAAGACTGTCTAGGAGACCTGGCAGAGCTAAGTAGTCAAAACAAGGTGATCCTAGACTGGGTGCCAGGCCATGAGGAATATCAGGGCAACGAAAAGGCCGACGAACTAGCTCGAGAATGCTTAGATACGGCCATGACAGATCCCTAACCCTTCTGTGAAGTTGCTAAGGCATTGTGCAAGGCCTCCATCAAATAATGGATGCAAAAAGATTCTCAGGAATGGTGGAACAACTATCCAAGACTGAGACAGGCCAAAGAGTTTATCAAGGAACCATTAACCAAGTTCACGAAAGTCCTACTGGATCAAAAGCGTCAAACCGTTAGGATAACAGTAGGTCTTCTTACCGGATACTATCGCCTTGAAAGGCACATGAGTCATCAATCCAGCAGAAGAAGCAACTTTGTGCAGTTTCTGTGAAGAGGAAGTATCATTCAACATCCTGTGCTAATGTGAAGGCCTGGCTGGAATGAGGTTTCTAACATTGGGCGAAGAAAAGCCAAATGCATGCAACTACATGCGGGAGCCACTGTCAAAGCTATTAAGTCTTATAAAAAAGACCAGGCTAGACCACATACTCTAAAACAAACGGAGTCCCACAATAGATCTGAAAAGGTCGCGGTGGACAAAGAAAAATAACGTCCAACTCCCAATCTAATCTACTTTAATAGAGAGATAATTTCACACACACCAACATGCCTATCAATCAGGAAAATCTTGACTGATATTCACCATTTTTTAAATATGATAGAAAGGGGAACTCAGTAACCAATAAATAATCCTAGGAGCATTTCTTGATGTAGAAGGAGCTTTTGATACCATCTGCTGGTGGATAGAAGACAGCTTTCTCGGATGACAAGTACAGACGCAAACGTTCAGTGAAACCATTCAAATGAATATCCACAGGGGATGCCCACAGGATACTGTTTAACCTAGTGACAGTTGTACTGCCAAGAATATTGAACAATCAAGGGCTGTATGCTCAAGGATAAGCCAATTACATAGTCATCCTTATTCGAAGGAAACACCAAACCACAGTCTTCGAACTTGTACAAAAAAGACTAAAAAGAAGAAACCAAGAAAAATATCTGGGTCTAACCCTAGATAACAAACTTACTTGGAACCAGAAAGAGTGATCCAGGAACACTTGGTAGAAAACCTAGTAAAATAACCACAGGCACAGGACTATTGAGAGAAAGAACCTGGATACGGGGGGAAAAAAAGGGAATACAATAGACCCAAGAGGCCGCAGTATTGTGGATTAAATCTAACGCTACCTGCTTGTAACCGACAAAGATAAAGACTAGGCAGGTTATTAATGAACAGATGAGATCCCTGCAGTACACCTTCTGTTCATTTTGATGTTATACGTAAAATTGCTTGTCTATTTTCAGTAGTATTTGGCTCATGAATATTTGGGGTATTGGTATAAAGCTTACTTTTAAAGATCCCTTAAGATTATAAAACTACATACCAAATAAAATATCAAACATAAAAAAACATACTGTGTATTTAATTTTACGTAAAAAATATCAAATATTAAGTTTACAATAAAAAAAACTAATCATTTGCAACACGCATACGGATCGTCGCCACAGTTGAGGACACACGCCAGACATTTCCCTGGGATTTGGGCGCCTTTGAGGAAGCAACACGCCCAATCGTCGCAGCACTGACTGCAGGCGGTGCAGCAGTAACACACCCAGTACAACAATCCGGCCAGCAGGGCGATCGGAACTGCTAAGGTGACCAACAGCAGGAAGCATAACGTACATTTGCCCACGTTGACCATTTTATATACGTGTTTGTGGCTGATAAAGGAATTTTCTTCAAAATAATAAAAGCAAAAAACATTCGTTCATTATGTGGATCGTTTGACGTTTGTCATTGGCATTGGAAATAGTTTTGACTGATTTGTGATAATGTTTCACGTTAGGGGCGGTTTCTATTACCGTATGTAGCGTTGTGCGCCTGTCGAGTAAGAAGTATCTTACCAAAATGCGTTGTCGTGTCGATATAGTCCTATCCTTCTTTAACATGAGATTGGGTGAAACAAAAAAAAAATACTAAAAAAATGAATGTGTGTCATTTAAATGCAGTAAACTATTTTGAATGTTCTTGATTTTAAAGCAATCAAAATAGCATCATCTAGCTGCTGTTCTAAAAATTACTCAAAACAGATTTAAGAATTTAAGAATCACTGAAAGTTTCTAAAAGTAAATCTAGATTAACTAGCAATTTGTGCATTCAATAAGAGAAGTCATACAAACATGATGAATATAATGTATACTTGAAACAGAATGTTGAATACGATACATTATTGTTCATGTTGGACATAATAATGGATTCATTGAAAATACGTGACTTATTTTTTAAGCTAAGAAAAAAACTGAAACTCCCACGATAATATGAAAACAGAAAATGTTGAAAAATTTTTTTTAAACAACTAATTGATAGCAATGGATAGCGCTAGTTATCACAGTCTGTTAGAGGAGCCAATTCCCAATAAAAGGTGGAACTTATAGATTGGCTTCAAATCACTGTTGATCCGAAACTGTTAAAGGACATCATTTGGTAAAATATAGAATTTGGACAAATATGTTCAAAGTTATGACAACTCTGTTCTTACATTGCCTCCTTATCACTGCTAGCGAAATGGTTTAGTCAAACTCGAAACGAAAATTTGATCAAGATATTGACCAATTTAAAGCTACACCAATTCAAGTCATAGCAACTTTGGACGACATACTGTAAAATATTCTTCAATCACATTGGATAAACTTTGTGAAACATAGCAAAAAGATTGTTTTGGATGGACTGTATTTTGAAAGCAGACTTAATATAATGAACATTAAACCGATGGTCATTCATATTATTGAGGAAAGCGCCATTGATGAATCAAATCGATTTGTCTTTCATATTTTATAATGCAATGGAGGAGCGGAGACTTCTTGTTATGTACATGCACATTCAGTAAATAATACTGTTATTTTATTTTTGATTATTTAGTTTTATTTTGTTTTTATTATTTTACTTATTTTGTTTCGATAGGTTAAAGAGGGCACTCTATTAGAAGAGTTTGGTACGCAAGTTACTAGTGTGGCAAATAAGGTAACGTGAATTATGCTCAAACGAAGAGAATTTATCGATATAGCTTTACTAAAAATTATTGTATGTTGAAACGAATGTATGTATACAGGGTGATTCAATTAGTGTGAAAAAATCAAATATATCTGGCACCATTAGATATAGAAAAAAACATGTACAGGACGGTAGGCAGTATTAAACTCATTTTAAAATTATTTTCGAATATGCAGGGATCACCCTTTTTGTTAAAATATCTGTAAAAATGGTAAACAAAACATTTTCTAATATTCATCGATGCCATTCAACATTCATCAAAACTGTTCTATTAACAAAATTTTTAAGATGAGTCATGTAATATTTTTTAATTCGACCTAATTCTCAGATGGTTCTCATCAAATCCATCGACTCGATTATGTTGATGCACTAATGGGTCACGTGACAACATTAAATTATTATTATTATTAAACTGATAAGGAAATAGGAAAAATTCGCTCAAGATTGTCAATAATAATCCCACCGTTGGCCGGGATTTTTCTATTTAATTTATATTATTTAAAATTAATTCTGATGCCTTGGTAGGATTCCCCACTTGACCATTCACTGTTGGGTTCTAATTAACAGTGCTGTTCCTAAAGTGGCGCTGGGAAACAGTAACAAAGCCTACACAGAACACGAGGCTAATAACCTTAGCAGTTGATGCCGATGACACAAAAAAAATAACGAAGAAACTCACTGGGTTTTATTAACCCAATCTCCAAGTGGGCTAATTTTTAAAATAATATTGTCACCATTATATATACAGCAAGCAAATGAAGGTGAGTACATATTTTTTCAATTTTATTACCCGTACTTGTCTTTAGTTAGTATGCTTATCAAAAAAGTACTTCGAATTAGGCATTCCAATGACCTGTCAAAAATGCTGCCAGTTAGAACTGACAGTTTAGATATGGCAACCCTGTGGGCCTGGTGTCATTGAGAGGGTCAATTATACATATGTAGTTATATAAATTGCTCAAAGCGAGTCGTTTGCGATTGGCAAGTGTTCATTAATTTGAATCGTTTTAGCAAAGATGTATTTTAAAACCAATTTACAGCCTTTGAATATATTAAAAAAATAATTACCCACATTTTTCTTCAAGGCATAAGCTTATATTTATTTTTATAAACATGGATGATCAATCTATATCATTGAACCTGTCTAATCACCAGGCCACAGTGTTGCTATATCAGAATCTATCATGTGCCTGTCATTACCTACAGGCAACCATTTGGTTTATAATGCCAAATTGTTTTCATTAAATAAAGATATTTTGACAGTTAAGAATTCAAAATCTTAAAGGTCAATCGTTCTTAAATAATTTTCATCAGATAAAAATCAGGATTACAGTACATCATTTTATTGAATATTAGAAAACGCCTAAGGTTATAATCTTTGCATCCAAAATATTTTGAGAGTTCTGTCATTTACACTTACATCAATCTTATTTAAATGGGACATTTGAATTTGATATATTTGAATCCTCGCTTTTTCCATTAAAACAGTAACAAATAGTATGGGATTACACAGGGTATTTCACATGAAAATCATATTGCGGTAACAGTTTTTGGATGTTAGTCAATATTTATGCCAACACACTGTTTTTTTTAATTCGTAACAAATATACAGGGCGAGTCAAAACTCAAATACATCATTTTCGCATTTTTCACTGAGATATTTTTTTTGTAGTTAACCAAATATGCATTGAGTTATTTAGACTATGCCCTCATTTAAAGCAATTTCCACCACTCTTGCGCAGGGGAAGCTTTTATTTATATCGTGTAATTTTTAGGGTATAAATAAGTACTTTCATATCAACTTTTTGGCACAATTACAAAAAATATTTTATATTTTGTTTATATTTCCTATTTTCGTCCCTCCCTAGTATACATAATATATCTAGTAATGCCGGAGATATTTTACTTTTTCACTCTAATTAATCACCCAGTAGTTTTTTCATTTGTGTACTCTTTGACTCACTTTCAAAGCTAACTAGATATCGATACTTTCTGGTAATCAAGTGATAATTTCGTAAATAGTTTATTTATTGTCGATCAGATGGGCGAATTAGGTAGAAAAGGATGGAAAGAGGTGAGCAACTTAAACAACGAGAGTAGTTCCGGTGGTTATGGGGAGGTGGCCGGTGATAATTATTCACCAAGTGAAAAATCGTCGTTGTACAGCCAAGGAAACGGATACGTCAGGGAGGAGGATTGGAGTTATAGTAGTCAACACGGTTCCAAGTAAGTAGCGATTTATGGTTTGCAATCCGTTATTTTAAGGTTCTTTTTTAAATTTATATTAAAAATATAAGCTCAAGACCTACTATTTGCACCACTTTATTCTTTTTTACATTAGCCCTTTGCACTGGGCACATTATACTGTTTAAATTGGGCTCGTAATCGGAAGGAAGTATCTTCACCGTTTGATTCGGACTGATGGAAAAAAATCTCTTTAATTTCACTGATGCCACCTGATGAAATTTTTTGTTTTTCACTTTACTCCAGTGATTGACAGAAAAGTTATACAGTGCCGATAAGTTATTTGCGATTGAAAATATTGATTTTTCATTAAAAAAAATTCATTATTCAAGCAAATGGATTATGCGCAAGAATTAAAATTATACGTAATCTACACACATCAAAAAAATCTAGGGAACAAGAATAAAAATTGTTATAACTTCTTGGAGGCACCATATATTACCTTAAAAATTTGTGTGGCTATTGATGATACTAACGTTCGTTTAACACTACCAACAAAAAACAAAATTTAACAAGAACAAAAATTATTTCAACAATTATTGAAAAAAAAAAAAAAAAATCTCAATAACTTGATATGCAAGAAATCTCACAAAAACAAAATTCTCGATTGTTTTTGCTTTATCAATAAGCAGTGTAACCTCCCCGTCCATTAATTACAGCTCGGCATCTGTTGGGCATGCTGAAAATTAGATTGTTAATTTCCATTTGGTCTGTAGTATTCCATAGGTCAGAAAGACAATCTACTTTTGTTGACGAAGAAGTCTTCGTCCCATTGAATCCCACAAATGTTCAATGGGATTAAGATCTGGTGACTGCGCAGGCCATGGCAAAACATTGATATGCTTAGTTTCTAGAAATTCACGCACGAGCCGTGTGTGGACGGGCATTGTCGTGCATTAGCTGGAAATTCGGACCAAATTCTACAGCAAATGGAAGCACAGTATAACATACTGTCACGATAACTGGAAGCATTCAAAAAGCCGTCTAATAAAACGAGGTCACTCCTTCCTCCGACACGCATACCCCTCTACACCATTATTGTACCACCCTGGTAGCTGTAGACTTCCTGGGCTGCAGCAAGACGTTCCAGATTTCCAGGTCGTCTCCACACACGAAGTCGACGTGAATCCGGATGAAAACCGAATCGGGATTCGTCTGTAAAAAGTACCGTAGACCATTCTTGATGTCCCCAGTGTTGATGTTCTTGTGCCCATCGTAGTCTTTTTCTTGTTAACGGGGGAACACGGAGCGGTCTGCGAGCATAAAGGTTGAACTGGTGCAACCTGTTTCTCACAGCAATATGGTGTGTGCGGTATAATTGATTTGCTAACTGACCTGCTATGACAGTTCGATCTCGTAGTGTCTGTAATCGAATAAAACGATCATGTAGAGGGTCAGTTGCTCTCGTACGACCAGTATGTCGTTCTCTAACATCCCCGGTCTCACAGTATCTTGTCATCAATCGACAAATCACACTAGCTGATGTGTTAAGCACCTCCGCTACTGCTCTATAATTTTGGCCCCTTCAACCATCCCTACTGCTCGCAATTGTTCGTCGCGGTTTAAATGTCGTCTTTCCATCATGAACAACTAAACTAAACACTAATTCGAATACCAAAAATCTCGTTTTGTCCTTCGTAGAAGCAAAAACCAAAAGAAACTAATACGCTATTTTTATCGATAAAAGACAAATATTTTTTACTCACATTTTATCAATTGCTAAACCTTTAAAATCATGTACATTGTAAACAAAAAGAAATCAAAAATATCTACAGAAATTTTTAATATAATACCTGGTGTCTCAAAAAAGTTATAACAATTTTAATCCTTGTTCCCTAGATTTTCTTGATGTGTGTATTTAAACTTTATTTATGCACTGACAATATATTCGAGAAGTTTGAAAATTTGTGAAGAAGTAAACAAACGCTAGCAGGAACCACAGAGATTGCAAATACCTTTCAGACAAGGTGTAGTGAAGGTCCCTAATGAAAACTATTTTTTTTTGTAATTTCGTCATAAGGGGTGCATAAATTATGTTCAATAGTATACATTTTTTTTCTACACCCGCTTGGATTTTAGCTTATCTACGCACAGATTAAATCCACCAATCACAGTTCATATTTTGGACACCCAACTACTATTATTTTTAAAATTTTAAATATGTGACAATTCTGTCAAACTAACTGTCAGTACATTTTTTAGTTATTGAGATTAAATATACATTAAAATGTTTAGAATCGATAAATAATATCATTTTTATTTGAGTAACATTTAAAAAAAAATTATATTTCAATTAATTACGAGTATTAAAACTAAAATCATAAAAGTGGCGTGGAGCTGAGGACAGAGCATCTGCTGCCTTCCACGCGAATAGCCACGGACAATTTTTTTTATATTTATTTTACTTTACAAATAAGTAAAATTCATAAATTATTTTAAAATTTGTAAATTTTCGTTAGTGGGCCGTAGAAAAAATATACTGTACAATTCGAGTGGATTGTCCATATCCTCTCTTGTTGTACAGACTACTATTTTTTTAAATAAAATATTTCAACACGTTTTTATTCCAAGCTATGCTTGAATATATGGTTTTCGCATTTTTTCCAAAAGGAGTTTTCAACCCCTAAAAATAAAAAAATTACCGTATTTTTCGGACTTATAAGACACCTTTTTACATAGAAAAATGGATTCAAATTTTGGTTCGAAGGTAATATTAATAAATGACGCAGTTTTTGAAAGGAGTGACAAAAATAGTTTAGACCAAAGTAATGATGACATTAACGAGACGAGTGATAGTACAGAGATGAACTGAATAAATAAATACAAATTATGATCCGAAAGTTGCATTAATATATATTTTTCTAAAAATCATCTTATACATCTTAGGTGTTTTATAGTCTGAAAAATACGGTATATTAAATGAGAATTTAACATTCGAATGTTTTAGGGCTTCGAGTCCAAAATCACCTAACGAGAGTTGGGATGGCGGTTGGAGCGGATACCAGAATGAGGAGAACGGCAGTTATCAAACAGGTTTAAACGTAAAAAACTATTTATCCAATAGTGCCACTACGACCACCACCACCATTGAAAAATCCAATCGAACAACTAGCAAAGAAGAAACCAAAACAAAAGACGTTAAAAACAATTGGAACGAAAAGTGGGGGGACGACGAATTGTGGGAGAGCTTAAACAAGTGAATTTAGGATTTTTTTCTATATCTTTTAAATGAAACGATTTTGGTCAATCTGGAGAGAAACTGAAATTATAACGGATTTGTTATATGGAATATAATAATCAATGTTAGTCATAATTTATGCATCGGTAACGTGTAAGATTAAAAAAAAAAAACACTTAATATACATATTTATATTAATCCCTTTACAAGTTATAAAATAATTTGTATTGTTCGGAAATAGGGATCTGTTCGTTTTAACTTAACCATTCAAAACGGTAAAGTGAATGTTTTAATGCAGGCTTCGTTTGAACTACTGCTTTTAAAATGGTGCATTTAATCTAATACATTTTACAGATTTATTTGAACTATTAATGTATTTTAAACAAAGATTAATTGAACTACTGGCTTTTATAACAGTAGATTTGAACTACTGTGTTTAAAACGTCAGTTTATTTGGATTTCTGCTTTAAAAACTGACTATACTAAAATATTTTATAACCATCTATATTTACTATAAAAAAAGGTGATTTAATTAAAACGAACAGATCCGAAAAAGATGATCTTGTTAAAATTGTGGTTGTCTGATTGATGGACCAAGACCTCCTTTTTTCACTTAGTCATAACTCATTTCTATGTGAAAGATCACGTAACTGGAAAATAGAAAGGAATTTAATATTAGTTCATCAACTAAACAGCAGATATAAATAAGATAATGTTGGTTAATAGTAAATTTTTCAAATTCATTGTACAGTGTGTCTCAAATTTATATTACATGTATTGATTAATCTATGATAATTATCAACAAAGAATAATTACAAATTTTTAATAGGTGTTTTAATGAGAAAATCAGACTTTTAAATAGTTCTGTTAATTTATCAAATGTCACGCAATATTAATTTACACTGATTTTAAATTAGTATAAAGGTTTTGAAACTTTTTTTGTTTAAAAATCATTTTTATTACTTTTTCAGTGAATACTAGGAAAATGTATTTTATGTTAAAATATATATATATTTTGAAATAGTCAGTCTTTATTTCACAATCTACTCAAACTAAAAACATATTTTTCCTCCTTTTCATGACTTATTTGGGCCTACTTTTATTTTTAGCCCAAAAAAAAATGAAATCAAAGATTCACAATGAACGTGTTTTTAACACACTGATCCGTTTAAATTTACTCAGTTTAAAACAACAGATATATTTGAACTACTACAGTTACTACAATGGATGTTAACTACTGTTTTTTAGAGGACATTTATAACAACTTTTAAAAGGAAACATACTGCGTTTAATAGAAACTGTATATTTACCATTTCTTTAAAACACCAAATCGGTACTTTTAATTCAAAAAAATTGAGTATTTTCTTTTTTTATCTCTACTATGGATAAAACGTAATTTTTCAGTCTATTGACAATGCAAACCACGAAAAATTTTTAAAAACGATTAGACGCCGGTTTCCTTTGATTACTTGTTCAGTCTATTATGTATAAAAAGTATTTATAAAAAAATGTTATCTTCGTTTTATGAACAGACTAGCATAATCGTCATAATCGAATACTTTGATGATTGAAAAACGAATGTATCAAGCATTAAAATCATATCATTCGAATGATTTATTATACGCCGTGACTAGCAGTACATCGAATGTACACAAAATATTTGTACATCTGATGTATTCCCTATTATTCGTTCATCATAATTCTAACCTAACTTATTTCAGATAATAGAGTGAAAGACTTAAGTATTTTTTCTGTTTGTCCTTTCAAACAAATGGGCGTTTCATAAATTCATTTGGTTTCTTTTTAATGGAAAGTTTTGGCATCAGACTATGGGTTATAGTCAAAAATCTATTTTTGTGTAAACCTATAGAGAACTTTGTTTCTAGATAAAGCAAAAAATACAAATTATGACAATACAGTTTTCTTCGGGATGTGCCATATGATATATTTTAAATCACCACAACTTATATTCCCATACCCGTATCTAATTATTTGGGGTTAAATTAATATTGTTATATTCTCTAAAGTGATGATAAATCGGAAATAAATGTACATCAAAAATAATAAAACTCGTATATCTCATTTTTAAAACAAATACTCTGTTCATACTTAATCCACTATTGCGTTCGTTATTAACACTTAATGATAGTTCTTTCCCTATATGTCCATGACGTTTTGTAACGTCATTTGAAGATGTATGCTTCGATGAATGTAGACAAGCCGTCATGCAGTGAATTGTCTTTATAACCCCATAGGCATGTGAAAGCGTTCTTAAATTAGTGCATTATGAATTTGATTTTGATATTATGTTTGTGAATTTAACATAGCAAGGATTTAACAGGTTCTAATTAAATGATGTACCTAATTGCTCGATATTTAAATTTGTGGCATAGACTTGCAAATAAGTCTTTAATAAAAGTTATATGGATTTGAAAAACACATAATATAAAAATATTTTTGAAGATACAGAGTGTTACGCTTTTGCTTGGAAAGTAAAAATATATATTTGTTAAATGAAACACTGTATTTTTCTCAGTTTTAGAATTCTTACGGAATACTCTATTACACTCTAGAATATTTTTAAAAAGTATTACAGGGTTGTCAAGCAATTCATTTTTTGTGATATAAAATTATAGGGACCCCAAATAAAATTATCAGAATTTAAGTAACTTATCAATGAGTTGAACATTATTTAAAATACAGTTATAGAATACCAAAAACTAACGAATAGACATGATAGAACTAGTTTATTATAGAGGCTTTTGAAACATCTCATAAATATGGCTTAATTTAACTTCATTTTACCCAATTTGAATGCAACACCCTGTATATCATTTTAGCAATAAATTCATTATAAATTTACCTATCTAACGATTCCATCATGTTAGCCTTTTATGCATATGCAGGGTTTCTCATCAGTGCGTAATTAAGCGTTAGCTGTTTCATTATTAAAGATACAAAGACATTTTTAAGTTGTACGACCATATTTTAAAATTATTCCTAAATATACAGGAAAGTTCATGAGTGGTGGAAAAACTTATACTGTGTTAAAATTAAACCCCCTTGTATAACAAATTTATTTGTTCTCCCATTGTCAAACAATTTTAATAGACTTAACGTTTCTAAAAATGTTTTGACTTTCCATTCATTTGCTACGTTGTATATAGGGTGTGTCAAAACGCAAGATTACGATTTTTTTTTTCAAATGAAATGCCCTCTATGTTACAGCACAATTTTAATTAACTAATAATTTAGTTTCTTTATTTTTTATTTTGTTTGGCATTCTTGAGCCTAAACTGATTTTTAAATTTTATTTACAATGGTTCATATTACTTGTAACGGCTAAGGAATAGAAAAACATTCATTAATTCTGACAAATGGGTAATTGGTCGATAGATATTTTATTATTAGATATGAAGAAATGTTTAATATTAAATTTGTAAGACCATATTTTAAAATTCTTCTTAAATATACATGGTAGTCTATTAATGAGGGGAAAACCAAACATAGTTTTTTGAACCAAACACCCTGTAGGTAGTTACGTCTTACAGATTTGGTTTTCACATCGTTTTATAATTTTGATAGACTAAACGTTCTCAAAAACATTTTCATTTATTTGCTGTGATGCATACAGGGTGTGTCTAAACTTGAGTATACAATATTCTCATTTTTTTCAAATATATCCTGTGTGTTATACCACCAATTTATAAAAAATTAATTTCTTTATTTTTTTTATTTTGTTTGGCATTCTATTCCCAGACGAATTTTTTTTTCAAGATTTTGAGAATAACCAAACGCCGAGAAGCGACAAAGACCCTTTCCCGCCGGGTCGGTTTTCGACGGCGCATGATCGAAAATATGGTGTCTATTTGCATGTGGCCAGCTAGATCAGCGCGACACCGTATACGAAGGTGTCGAGCGATTTTGATCTGAGCGCAACAACTGTAGTTTCGACTGTTTTGAATTATTTCTTTCAGTTATTACTGTGTGATTTTTATTGTGTGTTTTCTGGATCATTTCGTAACAAAATGGTTGGATATTATTGTGTAGTTCACAATAAATTTTACGCCAGCTTGTCCACATTTTCCTACAGAATATTTATTAGGTTGAAGATTTTTTATACTGTAAAATACGCTAACAGGGATGTTAAAAGCGATAAAGGAAATAAAGCAGCGAGGAAGCTAAAAATATTATCACACACATAAAATTGTATCACCCAAAAATGCAGTGGTCTAAAATAGGCTACACTTAGTTGTTTTTTTTTTTGTTTAATTAGGTAGGTGACGGCTGCAAGCGTAGTTTTTGATTATTGCGCAAAAAATGTGTTTGACTTTCTATGTTATGTTGAGAATGGGGTGTTAATACACTGCGACCTAAAAGATCTATTGTGCCCCCTTCTGTCGCCACTGCACTAAGGAAATGTCTCAATGCCTATAGCGACCCTTCAATCCTATTTTCTCAAGGAAGTGTAGGATTTGAAGTGGCTTCAAGTTAGGTAAATCTCCCTCTTCTATTTGATATCCTCCTAGATATAGTGCCCTTGGATTCTGGAGTGCTACACATTCAGTTAGGATGTGAATGGAGGTTTCGTCACAGAATCTGCACTCACTATCCTATACTACTCTCTGTTTACTTAGGTGTCTTTCTACTCGGCAATGCCCGGTAAGGATCCCTGTTACAATACGTAGCCTGTTCTTGGTCAGGCAGATGCAGGCTTCCGATCTTCTCTGGTTATATTCACCCAGAAGTATCTTGGCCTGTCTCAGCCCCAAGAGATTGTTCCAATTATCTGTTCTTCTACTGCCCAATTCATTTTTAATCTCTCCTAATATTATGTTACTGCTGATACCGCAGAACGGCTCAGGTCCTACAAAGGGTGTTTGAGCCCCTTTCCTGGCAAGACTATCTGCAATCTTGTTACCCTGTACCCCGTTATGTCCCGGAACCCAAGTGAGAGTAACTCTATTTTTCTCGCCTAGCTCATTCAATTGTTCTAGGCATCTCCAGACCATTTTTGAGCTGATTACGTAAGAGCTCAGCGCTTTGATGGCTGCTTGACTATCGGACATGATGATAATCTCTTGTCTATGATAGTTTCTCTCAATGTTAAACTGGATACACTTCTCGATGGCGTGCATTTCCGCCTGGAAGATGCTTGGGTATTTTCCCAAGCTTTCGGAGTGCTTGGTTCTCGGCCCATACACTCCTATTCCAGTTCCTTCTATGGTTTTGGAACCGTCCGTATACCACTGAATAGCACGTCTTTCGGTTGCAAGCTCGATTAATTCTTGGCTCCATTCTTTCTTGCAGCCCAGCTCTGTGGTTTTGGAGTTTTTCACAAAACTTTACTTCTTTTGCATTTCATCCTGGGGCATGTCCTTTGACTTTCGACTTTTTATTATGTATACATATTTTTTAAATGTTTCTGTGTTTTATTTATTTAAAATCTGATTGCCACTTTTAAGATATTATCACATATATTCACCTCCAGAAAGTCAAAGGCATATAATTTTAAAAAATAAAAATTTACTTCCTTACTAAAAACATATTTAGAGTTGAGCAGTGTAAATTACAAATTTCCGCGCAATCGCTAGCCAATTCAGCTTGCGGCGGTGTAATTATGGTGTCTTCAAGGTCACCGCAAATCGACCCCACAAACATCAAACGTTCCGACAAAGCTGTCGCTTCTCGGCGTTTGGTTATTCTCGGGTTTTACCATGAAAATTGACATAATTTTTTCACATTTTTCTAATTGGCTTTTGAAAATATGGACTTATTTAGGGTAAACCGCTAATATAATTATTGATAACTCATTTGTCAGAATTAATGAATGATTTTCTATTCCTTCGACGTTACAATATGAGCCATTGTAAATAAAATTAAAAAATCAGTGAAGGCTGAAGAATACCAAATAAAATAAAAAGTAAAGAAACTAAATTATTAATTAATTTGTTTCGTAACACACAGGGCATTTCATTTAAAAAAAAATACGAAAATCGTAATCTTGCAAAACATTTTTAGAAACGTTAAGTCTATTAAAATTGTTTGACGATGTGAGAACAAATAAATTTGTTATACAAGAGGGTTTTATTTTAAAACAGTATAAGTTTTTACCACTCATTTATGAACTTTCCTGTATACTTAGGAATAATTTTAAAATATGGTCGTACAACTTAAAAATGTCTTCGTATCTTTAATAATAAAACGGCTGTCGATCAATTGCGCACTGATGAAACACACTGTATATGTATAATGGGCTAACATGGTGGTATCGTTAGATAGGTAAATTTATAATGAATTTAATGCTAAAATAACATACAGTTTCATTTAAATTGGGTAAAATGAGCCATATTTATGAGATATTTCAAAACCCTCTAATAAAATAAACTTCTATCATGTTTATTCGTTAGTTTGGTATCTTATAAGCATATATTTTAAAATGTTCAACTCATTAATAAGCTACTTAAATTCTGATAATTTTATTTGGGGATCTGTATAATTTTATATCACAAAAAATTAATTGCTTGGCAAACCTGTAATACATTTTAAAAATTTTCTAGGGTTTAATACAGTATTCCCTAAGAATTCTAAAACAGAGATAAAATACAATGTTCCATTTAACAAATATATATTTTTACTTTCCAAGCAAAAGCGTAACATACTGTATATCCAAAAATATTTTTATATTGTGTTTTTCAAATTCATATAACTTTTGTTAAAGACTTGTTTGCGTATCTATGCCACAAATTGAAATATCGAGCAATTAGGTACATAATTTAATTAGAACCTGTTAAAGCCTTGCTATGTTAAATTCACAAATATAATATCAAAACCAAATTCGCAGTGCACTAATTTAAGATCGTTTTCACATGCCTACGGGGTTATAAAGACAATTCACTGCATAGCGGCTTGTCTACATTCATCGAAATATATACATCTTCAAATGACGTTACAAAACGTCATGGGCATGGTGGAAAGAACTATCATGACGTTAATGAACGTCATGGGCAGCGAAAGTGTTCAATGGGCTCAACATTAATGGACTCGGACCGGCGCTTTACATCGCCTCCGAAAAAATGGCACAATCGACACTACTATAACGCCTGCCTGCTGTGTTATGCAACTAAGCGAGCAGTTTGTTCAGAAGTAAGCACTTTCATTCGAAATGGTCACCCATCCAACTACTAACTACGCTAGGGCTGCCTTGACTTCAGACGTCGATAAACAATAAGTGAACCTGCTATACTAGACCGCTTACCTATTATTTGATATGATCGCGAATTAAGGTCATCTTGAAGCTATTGCAAGTTCAGAGATGTCACTAAATATTTTAGTGTCATCCTCGTGAAATAACATTGCAATTAATATGGAATAATTGAAGGTCATTGACATTAATAAGAGTGGACGCAAAACCGATGCTTGAGGAACCCCACTCAAGACTAGTCTTTAAAATAAATGCGAATTTACAACTTTTCTGACAGTTAAGACTTGCCCAATCCATTTAAGTAAATTACCGTTAATACCAAAATCTTATGTATAATCTTCGTTTCGCACACGATCAAAAGTTTTCCAATTCGCAGAGTAAGGATGAAATAATACTCATATGTACTTTTTTTCGTTTTATTATTAGTTACATTTGAAAATGAAGCATTTTATTACAACGAACATTTTTTATACTAAGCAAAAAAATATTTTTTTCAGTTTACCCAGTAATATGAATTTCCTGTTACCAGAAATTTCTATTTTGTACGTTTTCTTCTATATTCATTTTTCACTATCATACCTACTGCAAAACATTCTATATCAATTTTCTGATTTACAATTTACACAAGTTTAGGGATTATTTTATAAAAAATATTCATCATACAAGGTAGAAATCCTCCAAATTACGTTGTAGTTAAGATATCTGACTAGGAATCTCACTAATTTTACATTATTGAAGAACATTAATTTACAAATGCCTAATTAAATACGGAAAATTGTCTGCTTATAAAGGATCACGTAAAAGTAAATTTCTTTCTGAACAAATTTACTTCACTAAAATTCTAATCAGCAATGTTCCATAGTTACTGACCACTTCTTGTAATATATATAAATTCTCACAGCGGTTATTAGGAAGTTAAATGTTTGATGGAGCAGGGTGGATTCTTGTGAAAGCTATGTTAGAAATGGAAGGAAAAGTTATTTCAGAGAACATTTCGCCCTCTGGACCGGGCTGACAGAATAGCTCCAACCGTACGTTTACCATAAAAGCCCACCAAATGTTCACTTCCAGAAATGAGATTAGGGGGTAGGATGAACAATAGAGGGTTATCTTACAAATAGGAGTTTTCTCACTATGCACCTTTATATATTGTTGCCATATTTTGCCATTTTAGTAGGTCCGTTTCATATTATAATTAGTGTGACCTTTAAGAAACTGTTTCTACTGTGATTTAGGGGAATTGATACTGCCAATATTATATATTAACTTGTTACCTCGGTAATTAAGGTATATCATAACACATTTTTTTAACTGCCTGAAGTGTGTACGTACACTCATGTAGTCCTTAATGTGATATCTACTGTTTAGTCATTTTGCAGGCATCAACGATACAAATTCTCAAAACAATTAGACATGATACACAAGATATATTTAAACAAGTATAAACTATTTAGTCTCTCTGCGGGCATCAACGATACAAATTCTCAAAACAATTAGACATGAAATACGAGATATATTTAAACAAGTTTATATTTTCTATACCTATTGTATAATCAACCACACAAAAGATTATTGAGAATATGTGATCCAACATCATTATTAAAAGTGCTGAAAGCAGCACAACTCACAATATTTATATAATGAAGTAAAAAAAAATAAGAAGCAGCAGTCACTAACATAAAACTCCTATCCTCAGAATTCTCACGAGTAGAAATCATGAAATTATTACACAAAGAATAAAATATAATTTAAAAAATGTTGATAATATTGATAAAAATCTGTTTATAGTACTTCGCATTAAAAGTCCACTAACAAATTCTGAAATAAATTATTTTAACAGTTACAACAATTAAGTTCCTACCATCAGATGGCGTAGTTACATCTTACAATTCTAAAAAGGAATGTTATTTTTAAAATATATCACATTCAATTATAATAATTACGCTAATAATATAAAATAAATATTTTGATGTAGATTTTTAACATTTCTGTACAAATTCTATTGTTAAAGAAAGAGCTGTGATTTAAACAGATAGTCCCATTAACCACTCTCATTTTGTGAAAAGAGCAAGCAAAATGTCAGTATTTTGAACTGGCATTTCATTAAAAACAGACAAGTGACAGTTGAGATTGAGACAGATGTCAAGATGACTTTAGAATCTCTAACACGACAAACTCAAAGAGAAGTACATTTTTCTACACCCACATGGATATTATCTATTCTACGCACAGACTACAGAACGAATATAATTTCATATCCATTCTAGTAAGGACACTGTATGTATATGAAATACCAATCACAGTTCATATTTAATAATCACTAGAGATAATATTTTTTATTCACTAGATATTCGTTAATATTTACAAAGAAACTAAATTGTAATAAAACTATCTAAAAACAATTCAATTATAAATTTTAAGCCATAAAAAATTTAAAAGTTAGTAGTGCAAGGTTTGAGTGAAGTGTTTCCATTCCAAGGACCGGAGTTCAAATCCCAGCCAAGGACATTTTTTTACTTTATTAAGTAGTAAAATTCATAATTTCAAATTTTTGTGTTAATTATCTTTAAAATAGTTATTTTACCTTAATATACTCTAAAATTACTTTTTAACATTTTGTAGATTTTCGTTAGTGGGTCGTAGAAAAAATATACTGTACAACTGTAGCGGATTGTCAATATCGCCATCATATCTACTCTTGTTGCATAATAGCTATATGTGTATTAAGAGCGAAAAGTGATACTTTGCCGCTTGAGACAGAAAGTTGCCCGCAAGACGCGTAAGTAGTGTATAATGTCTTGCCTATACCTACGTTAATCATGAAAAAAAAAAAAAAAAAAAAAAAAAACATGATATTCAAAATCCATGTTAACTTGGATAATATAACCAAAAAACATGTAACTACGTACAAATAACTAGAAAATCATTTATTAAAAAGAATTTAAATTAGGCGAGCAACAAAGCTGTCACTAAATATCAGTTTGCGGAAAACGTCGACTTTGTGGTTGGATTTCGAAGCGCAAAAGCCTACTTTCAATAGTGATCGAAGAAAAACTATTATTTTGTTGTCATATTATATATCACCTGTAACCTTCACGGTCCACATGTGGATTAATCACAGCTCTTCTTTATTATTGTTTACTTTATAAAATAGTGTCGGCAAAACCTCTTCGATAAGCCAAAGTTAAATGCGTTTGGTGCACAAATATATCTGAACGTTAAGAACCTTAAAATATGTTAAAACGTGTCAAACAAATGCGGATTAGCCTAAACGTTCTCTTACAAATAAACGAAGTCGCCGATAAATTGTTTAAAATACATCAATTATCAATAATTAATTGATTAACACAGGCCGCCGCCATAGTCATCATCGTCTTCGGTATCAGCTTTTGGTGCAGAGTCTGAAACTTGAGGATCTTTTTCGATGTTGTCTGCAGGGCTCTGAAAAATCGGATACATGCAAGCTGTCATACATTTCAAAAATATACAAGGAAAAACAAAAAATATTATGCCAGTCTCATTAGACTTTGCAGAAATGCTCTCTCTATATTTGACAGTAAATATCTGTTTCTGTGTCACATTTGTAAAAAAATCACCATCCGCGCCGATAAATGCAACACTTGGCCACTAATGCACAGTTAACATAATTTTTGGACATGTGTTGTTTTTGAAAGAAAGTCTTCAATTAGAAACATGGTTCATAGATTTCATATAATGGAAGGTATGAGAGTGATAATAAATTTTTTTAGTAAAAATAATAAATTAAATCATTAAGAACTATTAAAAAAAATGGGTTCAAACCACTGATCTGTATTATTTTACTGGATAGGATATAGGCTATATTTAACATACTAAAAAACCGTTCCACCAAGGAGACCGGAAGTGCAACAATGCTGGCCGATTTGGGCAAATTATGGTGGGTTCACAGAACTGAAATTTGGGATAATTTGACATACCTAACCTATAATTTGATTAGTTTTTCTTCTTATTCTTCTTCTATTCCTTTTGCGGGCGATGTCCTTCGGGAAAATTCACCCATGATTTGATTTTTTATGAAATAAAATATAAAAATGGAAACGTGAAGCATATTGTGTCTTCAGGAATGAACGTTTATTGTTTATTTCATACTCTTTTTACTTTGTTTTTCACAATAAAAACATCTCATCGTAGCTTGTTGACACAATTAAATGACAAATGTGATGACAAATGGAAATAGAGGTTATGTTAAATAACATCCGGTCCGCCATATTATTTGCCCAAATCGGCCAATTTTTCGGAACATTTTTTAGGGGGCTATATCCTATCCAGTAAAATAATGCAGATCAGTGGTTCAAACCCAATAGAAATGATCTGGATTATAGTAAAAAATAATGTAGCTGCAAAATTAGAACATAAAAATTTTAAGCTGAAAATGAATTTAAATCCACAACCCAAAAAAACTGAAAAAAAAAAAAGATGTGCACATTTGTATAAGCTGCTGAAGAAAAATACTTAAATCGTCAAATTGTAATGGATGATGTTATAATTCTGGTTATTGTTAATGATAATGGAGAAAGTAGGATTTAGGTTGGTTGTTTGGTAGGTTGGCACTTCTGAACTTTTAGTTAAAATTGGATGAAAAATTGAATATGTTCTATTTATCGTGAAGAAATTTTCAGTTGTAAAGTGTGCATTACCTCTTCGCCTTTCGCGCCAGGAACGTTGTTTGAAGCTGAAGCAGCAGCTCGAGGAATTGAACTTTCGGGCAATGGCATATCTCTGGCTAAAATAGCGTATTCCACATCCATGTGTTTAATGAAGGGACTGTTTAACGCTCTTTTGGCATTTTCCGGATCCTCCTCATCGTAGGCTGTCAACAACGTTTCTAACGTCTGCAATTCGGGCGCCTCACAGTAATTACCTGTCAAATATTCATAAGAAAAAGCCCGATTAATGCCAAAATAAGTAATTTTTATACAATGTATATACCCACCCCATTCTTTGAAGGCCTTTTCGGCCGCTACTACATCTCCTCTAGCTAATTGGACTAGAACTAAGGCTACAATCAGTCGCCCGGTCGCCTGATATGATTCGTTCTGTTGATGCAAGCCCAATTCACGACGAATTGCATCAGCAGCTAGATCGTACCTAAAAGAGAGCGTTAACCAATAAAACAGTTATCTAAATACGATAGGTTAGGTTGAAAATAAGGGAGATCATTGTATCTCATTCCGCTGTGACTCAGATGAATCTATTGTGTATCAAGGCTAACAAATAGTTCACCATACAAGCCATATCTTTTAATGAAGGCCATCGTCCAGTCAGGTGAATCCGAAAACCTGTAGTTTAGTAAAAATCAAATGTCTTACAACAGTGTTGTTTAAATAAAACAATAAATTGATATTAAAAAAAAAATACAATTTAAAAGTGTGCCATATTTTTATAAAACACCCATGTTTTTTCACCCACCACACCTACTTATTGGTTTAGCCAAATATTATCTACATTGCCATTTTATTGCTTAAGTGGTGCTCCACAAGGTAAAAATTTAGTACCATTAATGGGAATTATGGTTATGATAACCTACTTCTGGAGATGTATTCCTGTTAAGAGGAGTATTTACTTGGCTGTAGAGCGGAGCATGCAAGGGTTTCATAGTACCCCACTTTTAAAGTTTATTTTTGACTTATTCTGAAAGAAAAAAATATGTACATGTAGGTAAAGTATAAATCTATGCTCCTCTGGAGACACTTTTTAAAATTTGAAACTATTTTTTCTAAAAAAAAAAAAAAAAAAAAACTACTTTTTTTACCCATTCTCATTTTTTTTTTTTTAAACTAAATTGAATTTTGAAAAAGTGGTTCCAAAGTTAGTCAATGTCTATAAATGAGAAAAAAACGATTGTGACAAGCTGATTGTGCATTGTGGCACAATAAAAGACGGAAACAAGTCACTGCTTTAAAATTTGGAGAAATTTTAAAAAAAATTCCTAAAATCTTTTATTTATTTCTAAAGCCACCTGATATGGCATGAACCATAAATCCAGAGCAAAATAAGATTTGGAAATTTATTTGCAAGTAAAAGTTTTTAAATGTGGACATTTTATTGAATTCGAATTTGATTATGTTGCTGCCAGTCTGGATGGAATTGAAAAAAAAAAAAAACAAAACTCTATAATAGAGTTAAAATGTCCATATGGAGCTGAAGTGCTGACTGTAGAAGAAGAAATATGCAGTAGAGAAATAACTTTTTGGAAAAAGGAAAATGCCATAAAGGAGAACCACTATTGGTATTTTCAAATTCAGGGCTAGCTGCACATAACAAATGGATTTTTGCATTTTGTGCTTTTGGACTTCTGAAAGAATAAAAGTGGAAAAAATATCTCATATTGACAGCTTTTGGGAAGAAAAGATACAAAATAAAATTAAAAATTTTTGTATGCAATATGCCTTGCCGGAACTTGTTGACAGCAAAGCAATAGAGACATGGAAATACGGGACAGAATACTAAATAATTCGTGAGAAATTTTGTTTAATGTTTATTAACATAACGCCAGGAATCTTAAATTATTTCGAATATTTTATTAATTTAAGAATTACATTTTATTTATTTCTAAAACACTTTTTTTTTGACAAAATTTCATAAAAATATCTAGAGTGATAAGAAACTTATGATAAAATAGTTATTTTTTTTTTTAAACTTTAACACCCAAAGGATTCACACCCTTAAGTATCGGCACTCAATTAATAAATACCCTGTATTAATTGATATTACCTTATTCGAACCAATCGTCTATTTTTTTGTTATTTGTATTTATATTTCATACTTCTAAATGTAATTTAATCTAACTAAACCTTATTCACTAAATTAAAATATAAAAATAATGTAAACCCCTCTAAAAAAATCGAACAAATACGATTTTCGGTTCCTTTGTCTTAACTTCACCCATTAGAATTTGGAATACATATCCCTCGTATCTAGAGGCAATTGTTAAAATTATGAATGAATGCATGCGGATTTTGTTTAATCCTAGAAGTAATTTTGTAGTATTTAGACTCCACCCTCAAATTGTAATGTTTATACCTACTAAACTACGATTGCCCCGCAGGTCTTTCAGTTTGTAATGTAAATTTTCCTCTTAAGACAATAAGGTTTCTTAATTAAATTTATTTTATACTTACTGCTGTAACTTAACATGTATCCTTGCTATCTTACTAGTATACTCTGCAGCCTGTCTAGTACTATCCTGTATCTAAAAGATAGAACATGTATTAGAATTCATTGCTTAAACAAAATGGAATACTTACCAATACAATTTCTGTGGCATGTTGATACAACTTTAGTGCATCCTCTGGATATTGAGATTCTATTATTTTAGCTGCTTTATCCAGGGAAGAAGCTGCAGATTCAGCATTTCCATGTGTCTGAAACATATTGGCTGCCCTTTCAGCATATTCTGCAATGTCTCTTAAATTGCCCAACTCTTTACTAACTAGAACACACTGATCTAGAGCTTTGGCTGCATAAAATAAACTGTTTTGTGGTCAAGGAAAATAAGTAAATTCATTCTATTTTTGCAGTTTATGCTGTTAAAAATTGAATCAAAATTTATGACTAAATCTGATTGTGTCTAAGTATTAAAATTGTCAATAGTAATTGAAACACCTATGACATTTTAGTTGTACTACTGAAGTTCATCTTATGCATTACCTGTGCATCTTCAATACTAGATATAATTATTTGCAAAAAGGATACGCTCTATTTTGTTTATGACATTCAACTGCTTTAAGTAAACAGTCCTTGCACTGCTCATAGGATTTAGCATTTCTGAAACATGTTGCTAAAAAAAATATTACATGCTTTAGACATTAAAAGTTAATTTATAATCTTTATTCAGCCTTTAAGATTAGTATACAATGATAGGATGGTATGTAACTTGAAATAATAAATCTCCCTTAAGAATAAACCTCTGAAAGCAGATTATTTGCCTTATGTTAAGTAGATTCCGAATTATAACCATAAACAATCCTTGTAACAAAACTCTCCCATAATAATTTTCCAACTACACGCATAACACCCTGAATGCTTGCAATTCGGCTTTTGTAAACAAATCTAATAATTGTTTTTAATTGTAAGCCAACCCCACTATTCTATACAATCAGTCTTAAAAGTTTAATAAAAAGTAGTTGTTCTGTAATGACAGTTTAATGGTGATAATAAGGATTCAAATACCATTAAAGAAATGTATTGTGCAAATAAAATCAACTTCTACATATAGTTGAATCTATAAAAAAGGTCAATTACAATATAGGTACATTAGAATTATTAGCCAATAAAATGGATATTAGTGTACCCTAACATCTGTTGTAACTAAAGTTACCACTTTTACATTTTTCATACCTGCTTTATTGTATTCATCTGCAGCATTTTCGTAATCTGGTCTCCACTTAAGCAAAGAGGTCTTTAAACTTAAAAAAAAAATTAATTAATTATTCCTATGTCGATATTGGACTATGAAATACTTACCTTTTTTCAGCATTTTTAATGTGTTCTAGTCCATCCTCTACTTTTTTATTCGAAGTCATTATAAGATAATCGTATTTTTATTAAATGTATATAGGTAGGTAATCTCTGGTAAATATTTTTTTTATGTCAAAGTCAAACACATGTCACTTAAAATTGAAGATCGAATGGACAAGGCTACCAATCAACATTTAAATTAAACAATAAATATCCCTATGCTGTGCTACAAAATCGTTATAATCAAGGCCAATTTACTCTTTGAAATAAACTAGTGCCACCATACTTTTCAGGATAAAGATATTAAAAGAAGAGAATTATTTTAGGTTATATTTTCATTTTGGTGGGAAATAAAATAATAATTTATATCTATATTTACGATGGCTGAAAAATTGGAAGATTTGAATTTACCGAATTCCTCTGTACAGAAAATAATCAAAGAAGCTCTTCCCGATTCCGTGAATATCGGAAAAGACGCAAGATCAGCTTTATCCAGGGCAGCTTCTGTATTTGTGCTTTACGTTACATCGCAGGCTTCTAATGAAGCCCAAAAAGGTAACAGAAAGACGTTGATCGCCAAAGATGTTATGACTGCATTGGAGGAACTGGAATTCGATAATTTTATAGAACCCTTAGAGGAAGCTTTAAAAGGTTTGTCTTAAACAAAATAATTTTTAAGTAAATTTAACATTTATTTCTTGTATAGAGTTTAAGGATTCAAAAGTAAAAAGGAGTAGAGCCAAGAAACCAAATGGGGAAAGTGTTGCAACTGAGGATGTAGAAGATCAACATGAAACTGCAGATGCTGATTTAAAGGATGATGATTAGTTCATAGTACGTTTTTTATTTTTGTAAATAAAAGTTTTTTTTTTAATATATTTTTTGATTTTATTTAACAACATGTAACAAAATATAGTTGTAAACATACAGTTTAAAAAAAAATTAAAGTTTTAACAATAGCAAATTTAAAATTGACAGATTTACTTATAGAAGGTTTGTTGCCTGAAAATGGTAAATTTTCAAGTCAATCAAGACTAATAAAAATAAGATATGTCCCAACACATGACTTTCCTGTAAAGTTATCAAATTATAATGTATGGCCCATCTAATCAAAAAGTGTTTAGAATATGAATTCAAATTAAAACTTTTTTTCATACTTTCTTTGCCATTTAAACTACTGAAAAAAATTCAATTTTAGAGAAATCATGTATAGGACAAAATTTATAGATGACACCTCAAACAACTCTTATTAACAGAATTTTCCTCTAATCATAAATAACAAATAAGGTAGAAAAATGCCCTCCTATACAGTACCCTCTCGGATTATCGGACTATACAAAAATGTAATCAGATCACCACAGAATGGATTAAACCTTAGGTTTAAAATATGGTGTTTTTTCTTTATTTCTTTGAATTATCATGACTACAGACATAATCGTGAAAATATTCAAAACGGATTCAAATAATCCAAAACATAAAGATCCATCCCAAACTCGAGGTCGAAAAAAATCATTAATGGATACAGAAAAGTAAAATTATTGAAACATTTAGTTTTCAGGCAACTACTTGGAATATTTCAAAGTAATCTTCTAAATTGTGATTGTTTTTGGTAAAATGTAGGTATTAAAATAGCACAGCACATGGTAATGAAAAGTGCATGTAAAAACATTTTATAATAAACACCCAATGGAAATTTATAAAAAAAGTGTTGTTTTTCTTTGGTCCAAATATGACACTGGATTTGAAAATGTACCAAAAATTATTTCATGAAAATAAACAATAAAAGCATTTCATTTTGGATTGTCTAAAATATTGTGACTAGAATAATAGTAAATGGAATATTATTATTATTAATTTATTAACAAGTCTCAAAAGGCCACACATTGTGCTTATGTTTTAAACAGTGCAAATGCTTTTGTGCTAACAAGTTATGAGTAAATAATGAAAGAATAGCTGCAACGGAATTAAAAAACAAAAATTAATTACAAACGTATTATAAACAAATTATAAAAGGACAGATACTCTAAAACAGAGTTTACTCAACTGTTAGCTCCAAAAACATTCATATGAACATTTAAGTATTTAAAAAAAGCATTAGACGAACATTATCTGAATCATACAAGTACAAAGTGTGTAAATATTAAAGCTTATATAACAACACTGGAAAACCTGAGAATATAACAATACAACGGTCATCCTCTCTACAAGACCAGAGTAATTTTTCTCTCTATCTTCCCCCGGCACAGAGGACAGTCAGCGATGGGTACCGAGCAATTGCAGCAGCAGCACAGGTGCCCGCACGGCACGAATATTATTTGACACTGAAAATAAAATAAAATTACACCACTATATAGTAGAATTAATTTGTAGTTTACCTCCATATCTAGGCATACGACGCATTCAGAACTACTGAGAGCCTTAATGTTATCAGGGACGGGAGCGCTGGCTTCCTCAACGGGCATTGGAGGCGCTGACGCGCGAGAGTCCTCACAGCCGACCACTGTTCTTTCTTTTTCGTACATGTGGAAAGCGTCGAGAATTTTACGTCGTTCATTGCTGCTCGTCACGCCTGCTTTCAGCAAATCGTTATCCGTTATGTAATGAGTATCCCCTAAAAAAAACGTTGAAACGTACAAAAATAAAAATTATATTTATTAAAAAACAGCTCATAAATGCTCTTTTATCCATACTACCCAACTGTTATGCCATTCAGTTTATTTTTTTAATCTTGGAATCAGAGAGATTTATATCAGTTCATTATAAACATGCCCAAGATTGTCTGATAAAATGATTAATGTTTGCCCTATTTTAGATAATATAAAGTGTCTGATTAAAAATAAAATAATTAACCGAAACATGCTTAGATAAAATATTACTCGTTTCCGATGTACATGGTGTTAAAGTTATTATTATTTAAAAAATGATACTCAAAATTAATCAAACACAAATTATTTAATATTCAAATTACATGGCAACCGGTTTGGGCACTAAGGCCATCTTCGGGCCTGTAAAGACTGATAAAAATTGTTATACAACTACTGATGTGAACATCAAAATGAGATCCTTAAAAATATTGTATGTTCAATTTATTAACCAACTCATGGAGGTGCAAGGTGAGAATTATTAGTACAAAAATTTTTGTCGGAGAAATAGATTAAACTAACGAAAAACACAACCAATCTGATTACAGATCCAAGAAACGACACATATTGTGACAAGATTTGCCGAAGAAGGAACGACCTATAGGTTTGCTTTAAAATCGTTGTGACTTACTTTGACATTGTGTTAGATTAGCCAAAAATGGCAGGCAGTGAATGACGCCGTTCAAGAGAAGGAACTGCGCCAATGACGGATCGATATTCTTTTGTGCATGCGATAAACCCTCGGGAAGTCTAAAAAAAAAAAAAACGATTATAACAGATTTATTTTTCGTTAAACATTCAGTATTTTACTTACTTGTCCAATAATCGTTGGTACTGCCGAAGCCAGAAATCTTCTATGCTTTCACTATAGCTCTCTTCCATTATTTGTAGTGTGGATATCAGTTGTGCACGTCTTTCTTTTTGTTGTTCCATCAAATCGATAAGCAAAACCGATAAAGTACATCTCTTGTCGCATAAATCGTTCTACAAACAAAGTTACTCAACAAGACTCACTTAAAATGACTCACAAAAACTTTGGTTATGAAAATCTAGTAAACATATCTATTGCAGCCAAACGAAATATGAAAATGAAGTACATTTTCTGAAGGCTTCCGAAAAATAGTTAAAATATTTCCGATATTTTGAAAAATACATATAGGTTATCAATGTTCTGGGAGACTAGCGAATAATTACATCTACCCACAAAAATATTTGAAGAGGAAAAAGAAGTGGAAATAGCGCTCTAAAATCAAAGAGACGAGATAAAGGAAGACATTTTCTAGAGGCTGTAAAAACGATCAAAATTGTTATTTTATTTTGGGAAATACATGGAAGTCTAAACTCGTGAAGAATATAGAAAATTGACACAAATTAAAAATATTCTTACAAAAAAAACTAGTAGAGAATTTGGTTCAAACCCAACAGAAAACATAAAAGAGGAAAGTTTTCTAGAGTCTCTTAAAATGGTTAAAAATCTTCAAAATTGTTCTGCTACTCAAGTAAATACAAACATTGAAAGTCAATGTTCTCGAAAAGCCAAAAGGGTAAATAATTAATCCATTACTTACAAGATGCCCATCCATTTCTAATTTCTTCCTATCGATCTCTATACGAGTAAGAGTCGCCAATTGCGCCTCGACGAGTCTGATTTGCTGCAAGAGTCCCCAGCTTCTGGCGTCGCCTCTTTCTAGCAAGGTCCCCACGGCCGCTTTTTGTAAATCACTATCAACTATGAGCTTATTTACTAAATCCACCTTGTGGTCGTCTTGGTTCTGAAGCACCTCGATCAATTTGTAATCGATTTCGGCTTCCCTTGAAAAAATTAATAACAGTTTCAGCTTATAAAAAAAAACACGCAGTATTGGGGAAAACTACGGAAAACATAAACTTCCGCTAATAACAACGTATTAGGAAAAACAATGAAGACCATCAGAAAAGTAGTAAACAACATTGTTTTTGTAATAAAAAATCAAACTTGAAGTATTAAGATTATGTACTCACTGCTCCAATATACTTTTCGATATTTCCAATCTATTCTGATGGAATTCTTTAAATTTCGCCGTTTCTTGGGCCAAAATATCTTGCATGGCACCCAAAATGTCGTCCTTTCGCAAATCCTCATTATATCTATTAATGGCGCTCAATAGTTTTTCTTCTTCGAGCTTTTCTTGTTCCAATAGCTGCCCTAGAGGTTCATTATTCAGCACAAGCAGTTCCTTAATAGCTATATCAGCAGTATTTTCGGCTGAAATTAGTGATACATATAAGTAAAAGTGTGATATTGAATAAATTTAAGACATGAGTACCTTCCTGGAGCTGTTCTATCAATTTAAAGCGTTCTATTTCTTTTATTTGTTGGAGTTTGCTGAGCTCGCTGTCAAAATGGTTTTGTTGTTCAGTTAACACTGCTAGAAGCTAACAATAAAGGGTAAATAAAAAAATATGGAATTAATGAGCAACTGATAATCTTTATTAAAAACATTGCCACTCACTTTATCTCTTTGTACTTTAGAAGTGCTAGCAAATTCGAGTTCTTGCCTTATTGACATCTCATTAAGCCTTTCTATTTCAAGAAATTCTCTCATTTTTTGTTGCTAAAAAAATGAACTCTTAGCGCAAAAAATCAAAAACTAAGATCTCAAAAAAAAAAAACACTTTAGTCAGTCAAATGACAAGTATAAAGTTAATATAAGTACTTAATATAAGATTTTAAAAATTACAAAATATCATTAAAAATCATTAGGAATGAGGAAAATATTAAAAATATCAATAGTCGATTTCATGCAGCTTTTCTAAAGCTATTGAAAGACATACCCAGAATATCCAAATTCAGTGAAATTGTACTTCTTTGTTAGAGGACTTTAGAGGACTAAATATGCCATAATTAGTTGTGTGAAATGGAAAGAATAAATAATTTTGACGAGTATATCTTACTGATAATCTAAATTGAATGGATTGTAAAAGATATCCTCACCATTTGAACTCTGTTTTTTAAATAGATTTCTAGCCAAATCAGAAAAGCATTAAAAATGCCAAGCTTTTTGAATTAAGCATCAGAAAGGACAAGCTTTTTGAATTAAGGTGAGAGCTCCAGTAATCGACACTTTAAAATTCAAATTCTCCTAATAAGGGCATGTGTTCAGATTTGTACATAATTTTCTACCAGGATAAAGTTTAATATATCTGACAAACCCTGTAAAAATCCTCGAAGGTCATAGTTTTAGTTAAGTGGCAAATAATGGCACACATTGTCTCAAACATGTGAATTTCACTGTTGTTTCTTTTTAAATAGTTAAAGACAAGTGAATAAAATTTTGAGTAAAGTATATTTGTGTTCTAAAACACACATTTTGGTTAAATTTTAATGCTCACTTGAATTATAACGAAAATTGTAGGGGTGTCGATAACTGGGACACATACGTACATTATTCACCTGTGTTCGACACTTTTTATTTATTTATGTAGCACTTACAGAATGTAAAATTCCAAACAGTACAGTATATCTAACCTAACACAAACAATTTAGAGTTAAAAACAATATAAAATAAAAAATATATATAAAATATTGAGAAAGGGAAGAATAACACAACACCGCGGGACGACACGAGTAAAACTTAAGACATTCAGGAGTTGCAAGTTCCTTTTCAGCGCCAAAATATTACAATTAAATATATCACAGTCTGAGTAAAATTTGTTATAGTTCTTGCATAAGTGATCAATAAATGCACTTTGTCCGTAATTGGTTCTGTCTTTTTACATTCAAAAGAGATGTCTTATTTGATAACATGGGTTATGGCTATGAAAACGGTGTTTAAAGAGCAGGTTTTTTACAAATTTACGTTGCACCCTTTCAATTCTATTGATATGACAGGTGTAAGTAGGTTGCCAAATAACAGTATTTCAGGACACTTCTAACCAGGCCATTGTAAAGTGTCATGATTGCTTTTGTGTCATTCATGTACCTAGTATGTCTCTTGATGAAGCCAAGCATTCCAAGGGCTTTGCATACTATTGAATCTATATGGTTGTTAAAAGATATTGTGGTATCGATTACTGGGATATTATAGAGCACCAATGTTCGATTTCTTAATACTCTATCTTTGTAGTGTCAATAACCAGGGCGATAATAACTGGTCAAAGGGTGTCAATTGCTGGTGTATTCAAAATTACATTAAATCGCTATAAGATGTTCTACTAGTGTCGATTTATTAAGGTCATCTAAATGTTTATCCTTTTTAACTGTTCTGTAACGACTGACCCATGTAGCATGTATATTTAAGAATGAGTAAGGTTAAAATTAGAAAATATAGGAGGGCTATTAATTATGTTTAAAGCATGCATTACCTGAATTGAATCTGTTGAATCAGTATTAGACTGCTCAAAATTATTATCATCATCTAAATCAGCATCAGCTGGACTATATGGCACTCCAACATCTAATAAAAAAATGGAAATACATTCCACAGTAGTTGTAATTGTATTCCATTTAAATTCAAATACCAACCTTCACAAATAAAACCCATTATAGAGTTTAATCCCTGAGTAACAATATCCTGAGGAGGATACTCAAACATATCTGCATCTAATTCTAATACATGAATTTTTTTCCACTTATGTACACTCTTTGGTAAAACTTTCAACTTATTGTTATTAATATAGCACTTTCTTAAATTCACAAGATTCCCAATATCATGAGGTAAAAACTTTATATGGTTGTTGGACAAATCCAGTATCTTAAGATTTTTCAATTGGCAAATGTTATCACAAAGTTTTTTTATTTGATTGTTAGATATATACAACTCTTGTAAGTTTTTTAATAAGGCAATTTCGACGGGTATATGATGAAATAAATTGTTATTTAAATTTAGTATTTTTAACAGGTGCAAGTCCTTTAAATCGCCCCCGCCGCTTAGAGACCTTAAACTGTTGTTCTCCAATCGCAAACATTCTTTTAAAAACACTCTGCAAAGGGAGTAAATTCCGGTGGGGACTTCGGCTAAATCACAATCCGCCAAGTCGAATACAGGTTCTGGATTTTCTCGGGCCTAAAATTAATGAATCATTCCCAATCAGTTACAGTAATATAACCATACTTACCAAATACAACTTGTGCTCTAATTTGGCTTTGTTCGGATGTTTTTTTCTAAACATGGCTAGTTATTATTATAAGATTCTACAAACTAAAAGTATATTATTCCTAACAATAATTATTTGCTAAGCAGGGAACTGGACACTACCGGAAATCTATCATCAATGTTGTTATCTTTTTATTTACAAAAGGTAAAATAAAATACAAATCATTTGACATTTAATCTTTGACATGTGTCTTGTCTATTTTCCTGTCATTGTCAGAAGTAATTTCTTTTGGGGTAAGTTCGGTTTGGAACTCGGCGGATCGGACAGAGCGCGCACAGTGTGCGTGACGTCATAAATAGATTTCGCTCTTTTTACAAACTCAAGACGAACAAAAGGGAAATGACAAATGACGCTAGTGATAGTTTGCACTTGAATACACTTTTGTGAGTGTGTATGGACTGTAAAAAATAATTTTAATCAAATTAGGCATTCCAACGACCTGTCCAAATGGCTACCAGTGGGTAATGACAGTTTAGATATGGCAACCCTGTTGTCATGTTGTCATTAACAGGGTCAATGATACATGTATAGTAATATAGATTGCTCAAAGCTGGTCGTTTACGAGCGGCCATATTGCTTGGCAAATATTTATTAATTTGAATAGGTTTAGCAAAAATGTGTTTTAAAACCAATTTTTAGCCTTTAGATATTTAAAAAAAAAATAATTGCTTACATTTTTACTTCAAGTCATAAGCTTATGTTTATTTTGAAAAATATGGATGATCAATCTATGTAACTATCTATTTCATTGACCTTGTCAAATCACCAGGCCTACAGGGTTGCCATAATTTTTCCAAATCATAACCCGTCAGAACCCACTGGTAGCCATTCAGTTTGGAATGCCTAATAGGAAATAGTTATAACAAAAACAAACATGAAATAAAACGTGTAAAACTGATTAATCGCCGATCAGAATATTGACATTTGACATTTTTGACACATTCCTACAGATACCCGCGGCGGGGTGCGTTCAGAAATGTAGGGTAAACGCGTCCGGACGTTGTCTAAACTCTAAAAAGCGTTCCTAAATGAGGAACGTTCTATCTGGACGAATTACCCCAGCCATTCCTATTTAAAAGAAAAACGCGTCGGGATGAAGAAATTTTACCCACCGTATTGAGTAGGGTAATTTTTACTCGACTTGCGCAGTATGTCATAACCCTAATTAACCTAAGAGAACCACCTAGTATTTAATTTCTTATTTTTACTTTTTGAGTAAAAAATATATAAATATGAGTATAAGTGAGAGAATTAATTCCATCGATTATCGTCTAGTTGTCGGAAACGATGGTAATTTCATTATAGAAAATGATAAAGTTTTATGACACAGGATTAAAGGTAATGCATTGAATTTTTACATAAAAAAGTCTATGTGGACGTCAATGGTGTTCATATTTACTAATTTTTGATAATTCCTACAATCCCAGATAACAGAAAATACATAACCAAAAACTTGATTTGACAATACTTTGCACTTACCGTTCGTATTTATCGGGCAAAAATAAACATGCCGACGAATTTTGTCCGGACGATTGAAAATTTTACGCTCTCCATTTCTGAACGCACCCCTGATCTCCATCGGCCAACTCAATGAACAGGGGACCTATTTTCAAACCGTGTGAGTCACATACTTTGATTACTATACGAGGCAAGAGAGAGGTCCGACCACATACTTTGATTTGCTTTTACTATACGGATTCCGGAAGCAGAAGCGGATGATTAAAACGCACTTGATATTTTGCTTGCTGCTGTCAGTGTCAGTGAATATTAGGCATTCCAAACAAATGAATTACCAGTGGGCAGGTTTGGTATATCTAAGGGTGGCGACATATGTTGTATTCTATCTAGTTTACGTAAAATCATGTATAATGGATTACATTTAAATATTTTATGTCAAACACAATAAAAATAATATTTAAAAAACCTACCTATACATTTCTTCATAAATTGACAGGCTTGGGACTACTACTTCGCATGGGCGAAGTTATGTCATCAGATCTGGGGGGGCTAAAGCCCTAACCCTAGTCATATAATATATAATAGTTCTAGAGGTATACTGAAATTAAGTAAAAAAATTCTGGCGAATCTATGAAAATGAATAAAATATCATATATAAGTGAAAAAACTGAATAATTTTCATCACAATAATTTTCATCACAAAAATTTTCCTAATTTTCGCAACAAGAGTAGATATGGACAATCCACTCGAGTTGTGCAGTATATTTTTTCTACGAACTACTAACGAAAATCTACAAATTTAAAAAATTATTTTAGATTTAGACAAAATAAGCCATTTTAAAATAATTTATAAATTTTATTAATTTATAAAATAAAAAACATAAAAAAAATTAGCCCCTATAGTCCAGATTCGAACCCAGGTTATTCGCGTGGAAGGCAAATGCTCTGTCCTCAGCTCCACCCCCACTTTTAGGTTTTTAATTTTAATACTCGTAATTAAATTAGTTTCATACAATTTGATTAAAATTTACTTTTTTAAATGTGGCCCAAATAAAATTAAAATGTTATTTTTTATCGATTCTAAACAAAAATAACTAATTTTAACGTATATGTAATCTTAATGACTAAAAAATATACTGACAGTTTGTCAGAATTTAAAATTTTAAAAATAATAGTAGTTGGATGTCCAAAATATGAACTGGGATTTGTGGATTTCATTATTTTGCAGTTTTCTCGCTATGTTATGTTGGGAATGGGGTGTTAATACACTGCGACCTAAAATATCTATTGTGCCCCCTTCTGTCGCTAATGCAGCAATTAAATGTCTCAATGCCTATAACGACCCTTTCAATTATATCTTCTCAAGGAAGTGTAGGATTTGGAGTGGCTTCAAGTTTCTATTTGATATGCTCCTAGGTATAGTGCCCTTGGATTCTGGAGTGCTACACATTCAGTTAGAATGTAAATGAAGGTTTCGTCCTTCTCCTCACAGAATCTTCACTCACTATTTTCTACTACTCTCAGTTTACAAAGGTGTCCTTTTAGTTGGCAATGCCCAGTAAGGATCCCTGTTACAAGTGTCCTCAGTACTAGAAAAATGTATATTATGATAACAGCTTAAAATACAATCTGGCTAATGTGGAATACCCCGAAAGCCTTGCCAGACTTGTCTAATGATCGTCAGGCGCGCTAAATTCTGCACGTTCGATTACTATTCCTCTCCTCGTTTAACTAACTGGCTTGTCAGGTCCGACCGAAATACGGTTTTATAACCGAAACCGAAACCCAATTTCGGCTCCTTTCTTAGTTTCGGTCGAAACCGAAACAGAAATAAGAACTTTCTTTTAAGGCAATCTCTTATTGAAATTTGCAATATCTTTGTTTAAGACTAATTAACTCGTATTATAAATTTTAGCTACATTTACTTATTACCTATTTATTTATGTGATCCAAAGAAGCCATTAATAAATTTATTGACATTGTTTTTTTTTATTACTTTTGAAACTAAAAAAAAAAAGTGAATTACAAAGTAGCAATCATTTCTACATCTGTCTCTAGATTTTTTGTAACAAAAAATAGTATTATGAAGGGAATTATATATAATGTAATTTTTATTAAAAAAAAACAAATTCAGATAAATATGTTTGTTACTTATAATTAAATTAATATTCATAAGTAAACAGTCTAACGTTGTAGGCTAGAAATAATATTTTTTCCACGTTTCACCTAAAAAAATGCTCCTTTGATACGAATAAATTAGGCCAGGAGCACTGAAGACTGTTCACTTGAAACAAAGCAGAGAAGTACGTGCACTGTGTAGGAATGGCACCCGGCACAGTCGCCATTGTGCCGGACACAACCAAGTGTGATACGAAAACTTTCGAAAGTAGTTTCGTAGTTGGCTGCAGTTTCGGCCAGTTTTCATACTTGTGAGTCTGGCAGGACTTCGTGATTTTAATTGTCAGCCAGACCTATATTTTCACTTAGAATACCACTAGTGCCTAAATTATTTCCGAACATTTTTTCGAACTTACGAATATTTTGAAATTTATCCTGAGTCGAAGACGATTGATATTTTTCTTAAAATATGCGTGAGTGAGCAAAAATTTACTGATAATAATTTAGGCCCCAGTGGTAGGTATTGGGTAAGAAAATTTTACACCAAAATATCCAAATTTCAAAACTTGACAGACATACATTAAAACGACTAAAATCAAATTTTCAAAGCTGGCCATAGAACAACATATAAAACATGCATAAAAGAGCTTCTCAACTGTCAAAAAAATGTTCAGTATAATTTCGTTCAGGGTACCCACCAAAAGAAAAATTTCCGGAAATTTTTTATGGAAGCGTTTGAAAATAACGGTATTTGATCTGCTATAAAATAGAGCTGTAAAATTATAATATAATCTATCACATGACAAATTTTCAAACCCGGGAAAATAAAAGCAAAAATATTATATTTTTTCGATTTTGAAGATATTACCAGACTCATTTGCCAATTTCGTAAATCAGCCAGACTTATTATTATTAACAGTTCATGATTGTATCAATTTATATGTTAAATTTTCTGCCACACTCACTTTCCACTATTTCAAACTGCTATTTTTACAAGCTTTATGTTCTAGTTTAGTAAATGTAAAATATTTATGACTGGGAAAATAAGTGTCACTCAAAATGTTTTTTTTTTTAACTAAGAGAACAGTTTATTTTCATATACACCGATTGGAAAAATGAGTACGAGTAAAATTCACTGCCTCCTGAACTAAATGTAAACTTTCAGAATCAATCAAATGGCACGATTTTTCTTTATTTATTAATTTCTGTTCTGAAATCTGAAATGTGTGGATAGATGTGCGATAAATGTTCGAATTATTTTTGGGGGGGCTAATTTGGTTTTTGGGGGGGCTTAGCCCCCCCAAGCCCCCCCCTAACTTCGCCCATGCTACTTCGAATAAAAATAGTTGCAAGACTATGTCGCTACCCCCCTTAGACATACAAGAATTTCCCACTGGCACATAATGTTTGACAGGTCGTTGGAATGCCTAATTATTTTTAGAGTTACAGTCATAGCCCTCAGAAAGTCTAGATACCGCTTGGCGTATGCTGTCAATACAAAAAAATGACCCCATTCAAGCTTGTCGCCATGTTAGGTAAATTTATGTTTTGGCTACACTGATTTTTAGTTTGTGTGTTCTGTAATACGTGAACACCGATAATCTGCACTTTGTTATTAGTTA